CAGAGAGAGCAGTGTGAGTGACAGAGTCTCAGAGAGAGCAGTGTGAGTGACAGAGTCTCAGAGAGAGTAGTGTGAGTCACAGAGAGTACCCAAAGACTCCTCTCCCCAGGCTTAGTGTCATTTATTTGGGGTCACCTTCTCTGCAAGTGCAGGAAGGAAGAGCTCTGGATCCTCCCTGTCACATTGGTCACATGGTGGTGCTGTCTTTCAGCCAGCTCTGGGATCTGTTTTTAGTCTTTTCTGGAAGCTTCGTTTTGTTTCTTGCAGTTTGACTTACCGCACAGGGCAGAACTTTGGCTCGGTGAAGAGCCGCATGGCTGGGGGTTCGAATCCCACGCAATCGCGTAGGTGTTCCGGCTGTGTCTGCGTAGATTTCCTCTAGGGGTTGCCGGCTTCCTGCAGTTCAGAAACATTCAGATGGGTTACGGCAGTGTCCCTGTGCGTGTTGCTGCCCTGCGACGGATCCCCATCCCGTCCTGGGCGTCCCCTACCCTGCGCCCTGTGCTGCCTGGGCCAGGCTGCAGGCCCGTGGTGACCCTGCGCTGGTGCACGGCCCTGGCAGCGGCATGGATGGGATCGCAGCCCAGAACACTGCGCGTTTGCTTGGCAGCCTCTCTGAATATTCCCACGCAGGTCAGCGTGGACGCTCCTCCGTTTGTTTCTCACCCATTGTCTGTTTCTTTCTGACTGATCCCAGGCCTTGTATTTTGCTTCATATTAAGGAAAATGGGATTTATTATAGAATGATAGCATTGTATCGTATGTAGCATTGTATTGTTTGTGTGAGCGTCGCCGTACTGAGGCAGTCATCCCCAAACCCCTGTGGTCCCCCCTTGTCCCTCCATCTCTCCCTGCATATCTCTCCTAACGTGTCCCCTTCTCCCCCCTCAGGCTACATGGAGGATCTGGCCCGGAGCGTCGAGCAGAGCCGCAGGCTCATCATGATCCTGACCCCCGAGTTTGTGGCCAAGCGCGGCTGGAGCATCTTCCAGCTGGAGTCCCGCATCCACGGCATGCTGGTGACGGGCGAGATCAAGGTCATCCTCATCGAGTGCGCCGACCTGCGCAGCGTCATCAACTACCAGGAGGTGGAGGCCCTCAAGCACGGCATCAAGCTGCTGTCCGTCGTCAAGTGGAAGGGCCCCGCCAACAACCGGCTGCAGTCACACTTCTGGAAGCGACTGGTCTACGAGATGCCCGTCAAGAGGAAGGAGACGCTGTCGCGCCGGCAGGTGCTGGATTCGGGCGAGCAGGGCCTCTTTGGCGACCTGCAGACCGTCTCCAGCATCGCCATGACCAACACCTCCGCCTCGCTGGCGCCCAGCCATTCCGACGTGCCGGACTTCGACCCGGCGGGCCGCCCGCAGATGAGACACTTCTGCCGGGTATACGAGTACCAGGTGCCACCGTCCCCGGTGCACACGGGCACGCTGGGGGACAGGCACACGTACTGCAACATCCCCATGGCGCTGCTCAACGGGCAGACGATACCCGGCGGGGGCAGCGGTGGCGGCAAAGCCAAGACCGAGCTGCACTTCAACAGCACATTCGTGCCACTGACCAGCCGTGAGCTCACCAGCGACATCTGGTAGACGGGAAGGGTACTGCAGCGTGACATGGATTTTGATTACCTGCATGAAAACTCGACTTTTAACGAAGACGACTTTTAACGAGCACTGGGGTACAAAAAAACCAGGACCTGTCCGGGACTTTTTCATTTGGTCTTTAATGTTTGGGGATTTTATTTATTATTATTATTATTATTATTATTATTATTATTATTATCATCATCGTTTGACTTTCTTTTCCGTCGGCCGTAAAACGAGGGTTATTTCAGAAGTGATTTTCCTACTTGAATTTCTCCTTTTCGGAGACGGGGTAATATATATGACCTTGTTTTTAAAGCTCAAGCTGCTCTTACTCTGTACAGTTTTCCTATCTGCTGGGAGCGTGCATAGAAGGCTGACGTGATGTGCCGTGTGTGTGCAGTTCCCCATCTGGGCTCCAGGGGGCATAAAGGAGGACTCCGCTCGTCAAAGAGACACTGTATTTTGTGAGCATTATTATATTTAAGCAGAAGTTCCATGTCTGAATTTACACAAGGTAATTGTCATAGTTTGAAGCCAATTAAATATGAATATTTGAAATATTTGATACAGGTTATGGTTTGATTTGTCCCTCTGGTGCGCCAGGCCCTCTCTCACAGCCCCCCCCCCCCCACATGTTCTCCTATTGCTCTGACTACACTTCTCCTCCCAAGAGGACAGAGGTTCACCAGCCAGGCAGGAGCACAGGGAAAAATTAAGAACAGTAGCTCCTGGATCTCTGTACCTGTGTTCTTCAACATACACACGTGTGCACAAGCCTGCTGTCTCCCCAGCCCTCACAGAGCACGATAAATGGACCCACTTCAATGTTTCTCTGCTGCATGGCCAAGAACCCAGGCTCCGTTCTGGAGAGAATGTCACTGACCTGGCCCAGGAGACAGATGTTCCTGTTGGTGTCGCTGCTTTAGCTAAAGCCTCTCTACTGCCCCCATGTGCTTGAACTGGATAATGTCCTTCACCCTGGATAACATAACCTGACCTGGTTATGTTATGGACAAGACAGTCCTCACTAACCTACCATGCTCCAACTAATGCTATTCCCAGATTTTGATTTGACCTGCAACCCTGAATTTGATCCATGGGTGCTTTTAAACACAGAAGGCATTGCCCATAATGCATCTGTAGGATCAAGGCACCATCTTTATTGGCATAGATATTAGATGTTAGTAGATATTAGCATACAGTGACACACTGTGGGGGGTAGGGGAAGGCTAGTGGGATGGTTTAGTAGGACAGCAGTAGGTAGGGGCCCTGGGGGGCCTGGTCTAGGCCCCTGTGACCAGCTCTGGGGGGTGGGAGAATGGAGGCCGGTTGGGAGAAAATGGTGTTAATATGAGCAATACAGCTTTTCATTTTTCATCCAAGAGCAGTTGGAGTTCGGCGTTTGGTTCTAATTGACATATAGTTCTGGGGGGGGGGGGTTGGCTCTTCCTCAAGGAGAGACCCCGCATTTACAAACCTCACATTCTGTTCCCCCACAGATGGGGAGCAAAACTGAAGGACGAGGCACGCGAGTGAGAAGGACGTGCGGGAAACACGTAAATGGAGCATGTCGCCGCGTCACGCCAACGCCAGGGTCACGCGTGTGCGTCAGTCTCAAGCAAGGAAATGACAAGGAGAAAAAATAGGGCGAGTGTGAAAAGAGGACGAGGCTTTCTGGCGAAGGGTCTGAGGTGCTCAGTTACTCCGAGCCTCCGGTTCTCCAAACAGGGCTGGGAACAATGGAGGTTAGAAACAGCAAAAAAATTACTCAACTGAGAGTGACACCCTCAGCCAGCTACTCTCAGGAAGGAGTTTGTCAAGCAGTAGTGTACTTTTCAGAAATGCCTTTTAACATGCTTTCTTGTGTAAACATTTTCTGCCGAAATCATTGTGATTGCAGAAACCCTTAGAGTGCACAAATTCTAGGAAATATTTGTTAAGGGAACCAAATAATGCCTGTAGAGAGAGACATTCCAGTTTGCGCAAGTTATAGAGCCACGTTTCCATCTTTTTCAGCAACCTTCATGATAACGAGGTGAATTGGGTTACTATTTATTAAAGCTAAAAAAAATCCAAATTATCAGTATTTCACTGAAATCAAGTGGAAACCAGCCCTTCAGACACGGATTAACTTTCACTAATAAACTAATGAAAGGCTACGTTCAATGCAGTGTAACGTTAAGACGCAACAGTGCCACCTGGTGGTGTCAGCGCGCCACAGGCCACACAATGCCCGGAGATGTGATTTACTGTGTTTGTCGACGAACACAGAGTAATACATTAGCAGCGTTTTTTTAAGTCCAAACATCGCGTTCGCTCTACGTTCCCAAAATACTTCTGCCCTTAAAAATAAAGGAGGGAGCCACCAAAACCAGGATGTCTGGAAAAAGCGGACGAGCGGATGAGTGTAGACATATGTGACTAAATGAAAGGATGATGGTAGCTGCTCACCACAGCCTATAAATAAACCCCCCAAGACTAGGAGGGGCACTTTTTATTTTCATTTTCAAAAGGGAAGAAAACACCGCACGGTGCCAACCTAATGACGCAGATTAGCGTCGAATTTTGCAGGCGGCACGGAAGGGAAGTGGTGATCGAATCTGCGTACGGCGCTCCGCTGACAGAGACGTGCCAGAGCCACTCAGCGGGACTGTGACCCCAGATGGGGATGTGGAGCTGGGTCAACATCAGCACCTGGCATGTCGTGTCACTGTCAACCTTAACCCTAAACCCTAACCCATTTCCTCAGGTCCCTGTGATCAGCAGGACCCCAACTTGGGGCCTAACTAGGTGGACTAGGTGTTAAATCACAAGGGTCAAGTGTAGGAACACCACGGAGCTCGTTAAAGCCCCTAGCAGTGAAAGGGCTACATCTTCATCTTCATCACGCGTCCCAATCCGCCATCTCACAAGGCCAGAGGCTCCGGGACGCGCCCAGCTCTCACAGACAGAGGTGCACAGGGAGTCCGTCATGCCGGCAACCTGATGTCTTCTAGAGAAAGATTCACTCCTTACCTTCAGTATAAATGGCTCAGTTCTGGGTTGGAGAAGTTGTGCATATTTTCCTGTACTGTAATTCTCAATTATAGTTTAATAACACGCAACAACCATGCAAATGAGTAATTAACACAAGGACGTCTGAACTCACTTCCTCCATTCAGTTTGTTTCATCTGTTCCTCTAAAGCACAAGCTTCACCCACATAATCCTGGTGATGAATGAGATACGCATCACTCCTTTTCACTTTCACCGATTTACCCGATTAACCAGACGACCGTATGTAAGCCACACAATGAGACACGCTACGATCTGATACACCCCGTGTTGTTTATTTGGCTTAAATGTTGACAGGAATCTCACATGAGGGGAATTGCGGTTTCACTTGACATTTCAGATCTTGTTGGGGTGGGGGTGGGGGGGTGAGCTGGCCACTCATTGTTTTGTGTAACTGTTTCTCGACCCATCTCCCCCGCTCAAGACAGTGGCCGGACACAACTCCAGTGAGTAGGCTGACTCTTGACCTGCTGCCAGTCCAGCGGACTTTACTATCATGGTCCGGGGTGCGGTGCATTAATAAGATTGACTCCACCATTGCGTGAGAAGCCACTTGCACCTCTACGCGTTATTTCACAATAAATGTATTTACACTCCAAATTGTTGTTCAAATGCAAACTGTAACCTGACTCAAGCCAATGAAGCTTTTGCATGACACATGCCCCCCCCCGGGCGTCCTGCGGAGCCTCCAGCCAGCAGCACGGTCACAGATATGCACTGTACGCACTGGAGTGCGTGGGACATGTAGGAAAAGGGCTTATATGTATATTGACATTGAGGGAAACAGTATGAGTGTCCCCCCTCACACCCTAACCCACCCCAAACACACCATCCATTAAAAAATCTCTATCCTCCATCCTCAGGCCAACAGGGCAAGTGGGGGGGGGGGATGTAAACCATCACACTCTGATGTGAACCTCGCCAGCCACTCCATCCCTCTCCATCTGAGCGTCAACCCCACCTAAGAATGTCGTCATTATATCATAAGCCTGGGGGGCCTCTTTGCTTATTCATCATGCCTCCGTATTGTTACTGCACATCACCCTCCCTCTCCCCACTCAAGAAAGGGCTCACTGTAGCCGGACACAGTGGCCCCCTTCAGAGGTCAGCTGCCTCAGTCCCGCGCCGCACGCTGCCCCCGTGTGAAGAAAGGGGCCCTTAAATCGGGGCTCCCGGGCAGGGGGTCACGTACGGAGCCACCAGAGTACCGCCAGACTCCGATGTGACCCCCCCCTCCCTCCCTCCCTCCCTCCCTCCCTCCCTCCCATATACAGAGGAGACCAAGACAAGGGTGAGCGCAGCTAACTAGCAATACTTTTACATCATCGATATTTTATACCAAAAAAAAATCCACTTTATGTCCAGCAGTCATTACTTTACAAAGCTGTCAATGCGGCCCTGTCAGTTGAACTTATTTCTCCCCGTTTAAAAACAAAAGTAACGCTGGTTAAAGGGACAGTGGGTGTATATGTCTCCCTGGACATAGCGTGCATGAATCACCCTTTACCCTGCATTCTCATAGACCTCCTGCTGCAGGGTGTAAAATGCAAACTGCGCGCTTTAAGCGCACATGCCGAGGGACCGTTGCTTTCTGAGCTGCACTTTTTTGAAATTTTGTTTTCTTGGGGAGAGCAGGAGCAGGAGGAGGGGGGACCCTGTTTTGTTTCCTCCGCGTTTTCCGGGTTTCGCTGGATGAGAAGTTTCCTGTGTTTGTCGCTCGGTTGGCTTCGCTTCGCTTCTCGCCGGCTCCGGCCGTGGACTGACAGGCTGTGCGGGACCCCCGCCGCCATCGCAGCTCCCGCGTCCCGTTAGCGATCGATACCGGAGCCGGAGTCGCCATGGCGAGAGACGGCAGGAGCCTGGACGGCATCGACCTCTCCATGCTCCGGGTGAGTCCGGCTCCGTGACAGCCGCCGAGAGGCTGCCGGAGCTGCGGCTACTTTGCGCTCGTCTTACGGTGTCAGCTCGTATCGAGAAAAGGATGGAGAAAGTTAGCGCTTGGAGAAGAGGATGGAGGGAGCGGCGCCTCGGAGTTACGGTGTTACTCTGTGGGATTAGGGAGGAGAAAAGCGGCTGTGAAGGAGCGGACAAGGGCTCTAAAAGCGCCTTTATAAAGTCCCTTAAACATTCAGGAAAACGGGGTGACTTCGTGCACTGTTTAATAAGCTCGCATTTACCGTTTGTCTTCGGCTGTTTTTAAGAGGAAACAGCAAATTATTTCGAGGCTTCAAGATGATTTGTAACGTTAGTGAAGCGGCTGAAGCGGACTCTTTGTAAGATGTTGACAACGTTTTTGCACGTTTGCAGGATCCTGCTGGGATATTTGAGCTTGTGGAAGTGGTTGGAAACGGGACTTATGGGCAAGTCTACAAGGTTGGTGGAAACCTCTCAGACCTCTCATAAACTCTCACACATGCAGTTTTGACTGAACATTCCCCTTTCCTGCACTTTTTGGGCAATCCTTGACCTTTACTTAAGTTTGCTGAAGTTTGTGTAATTGGAAATGATTAATGCAGACGCAGTATCACAATGGTCTGTTTGCACTTCCAGGTCAACAAGGAGTGAGTCAGAAATGCACTAATGCGGAGATGAATTAATGATGTGAAATGCTCATTATTTCATGATTATTAGTGTGGGCACAGGCATTAGAAAGATCTCTGCCTATATTGTGACCTATATTCACTGCAGGGGTTTGCGCCAGATGCGAGTGAGGTTAACACCCTTGGGTGGAGTCCACATCCTTATCGGCACTGACATCACTACTCTTTACACATGGATGGTGCTGTTTAAGGGGAGGGGGTGTTTTTAATTAGCTCTGCTGGGCTGAGACCAGCATTTTCACTGTGGTGTTAACCGCCTTCTGAGAAACCCTAGAGGAGCGGACCTGGCCTGGGTGCTGTCACATGGCTGGTAGACCTCCGAATTTATGTCACAGCCGGGAATGCTTGATGAGCAGATAAGAAAGGCTGCGTGTGGTGATTCCTGTAAAGAGAGGGTGAAGGCGTGCCTGTCCATCTGTGAGACTACGATCTCAGCAGCCGTCATCTCCTATCATCAAAACATTAACGTCCTCCTGACTTCCACCCTGAATCTGCACAGAAGGACATTGCCTGATCTTTAAGCTGCTCCATTTTGGTGTTTTGAACTGTACTTTACCATGCATATACACTGATTTCTGTTTATTTTTGCCATTAACACTCCATAAAAAATAACACCTCTTCCATTTGTGAAGGTTTTTTTGCTTTAATGACATTAATACATCTTTATTCTGTTATGACCTCATGCTGACCCACTTGCTATTAAGTAAAAAGGTGTAAGTACCTAAAGCAGGCAGAATCACTAATTGCAAGTCCCCCCCCCCCCTCCATGCAAGTGAACAATTAACTGGGCAGGTGTCCTTGATTGGAAAGCACTCTGATTTCAGTTGAAATAAGCAACAGAGCCTGTGCACATATCAACAGACACCATCAAAAAAATTGAGGTTTACACCAACTGAAACAGTCACACACCCAGCATGACGAATGAGACTTCATGCAGCCAGGGCCTTGTGTGACATAGCTATGGATGGCCACATCCCCATTAGGCTCTCCAAGGAAGAATCAGATGTATATTATGATTTTCAGTTATTTTACTCTAAAAAACACCGCATTCCTATGGTCTGCGTTGGCACAGGGAAGCCATTGTGAGAAAGAGCAGGGGTCAGCACTTCTATGAACAGCAGCTGGATCGTTACCCCCACTCGGGGCCGCTGGGGTCACTGCTGGCCTCAGGTGAAAGGCCAAAGGTCAAGACAAACAGGAAATCCTGTTTCTGGGAGCCTGGCTTTCTGGGGGGTGGAGTTTTGAGCAGTTTACCCCAATGCTGCCCATTTTCCTTCTCACTCTTACAAGTTTCCATGGCCAAATGCAACAGCTCAGGCCTATTTTCCTCTTTTCCCAAGTGTATTGATTTGAAAATTCTCTCCACAGTTCTCGGCCCAGTACCAGGGATCGAGTTGCTCCTGAGAGAGAGTGTGCTTGTTTTAAATAAACAAAACCCCTGTGATTCTTTAGAATCAGATCGATCCGAAGGTTTTGTTCCATGTCGAGTTCGTGCACTGAAGCAATTAGGATTTTCTGGACAGACCTCCCGCTTTGAGGGCGCTTCTCTCAGATGAATGAATGTCTTTGTTCCTCTCTTGCCTTTTTAAATCATCTCCATCTTGGGATTTCGTGCCCTTGAGGTTGAGTGTTGACTCACAGCCTCTGGAGGTCATGTTTTTGTCCCCAAACCATCCTGTGAACTGTGCCCACTTCAATGGAGTCCTTGTGAACCCTGACACTCTGCGCATCTTTGCAAGCCCTGACCTCCCACACATCCGGGAAAAGGAGAAAAACTTGAGTGTACAGTACATCTCTACATGACATCTTGGCATACCCTAAAGACTCTTAAAGTCGATGACCAAAGCAGCGAATGGGACTTTAGAACCAGCACGTGTTTAACAATAATTGACAGACATATTGAGTTTGGAAGAATCTCTACCTGGATCTATTCTTTCCAAATAGTTCATGTATTACATCTTCAGATAGATTTATGTTTCTGTTGAGGGACGCTTAAATGGTCAGAGCCAGGGATGCTCATATTGACCGTTTAATCGTTAACCGAAAGAATGAATTTTGACCGATTATTACTATCAGTCAAGAACATAAGAAATTTACAAACGAGAGGAGACCATTCGGCCCATCAAGCTCGTTTGGGGAGAACTTAACTAATAGCTCAGAGTTGTTAAAATCTTATCTAGCTCTGATTTAAAGGAACCCATGGTTTTAGCTTCCGCTACACTAGCAGGAAGACTATTCCATACTCTAACTACACGCTGTGTAAAGAAGTGCTTCCTCAAATTTGTTTTAAAATGTTCTGGTTTAAAATGTTTTTATATATATATTTTTAATTATTATTATTATTATTAGTAGTAGTAGTAGTATAAAGTTTTGTGGCATGAATATGCTACACATACACTATTTGTTAACTCATGGGGTGTTATCTCGTGCAACCACAAGTGCCTTCAGATGTATTTTGCCGGGCAAGCAAAATGAAGCGAGCGAAAAGAAGTACTTATTCTTTTTATTTATATTAATTTGTTTTTCTCTGTTGTCGGAAACACTGCAGGTGCGTGAAAATTTGATGATGTGTGAATCCAGATTCTGTTCTTGATATGTTCTGTGTGCTGTTGTTCGCACATGTTAAAATAAAACTGAAAAAAAATGTTCGCATATTTAATCAGACACTCCTCAGTTCTATTTTCATTCAATTCTAATTTAATATTCTAATCTGATCAGTTAACTATTAATGTTTGGATAACGAACGGCGGTTGTCGGTTGGGAAAATTAATCGAAATGAGCATCCCTAGTCAGAGCAGTCTGTCGCAGGAAGTCTGTCCACCAGGATTTTACAGTTTATACTTCATGCTTTCAGGGTTATGTTCCCTACCATATGTCTTGCTGAGCCACTCTCTGCTCATCTGCCGCTAAAAGCCCCTGGGGCATTTTTAAAAGCTGTCCTGCTAGGCCACGAGTTTGTGCTGAAGGGGTTCTCAGGACCTTCCTATAGGAGCAGCCCATGTTCGTACAGTAATGCTCACGGAAGGACCCATTTTTTATAAATTGGGCTGCAGAACACCATTCCAGCTACTTGCATTTCACCAAATGACTGCCTGTAACTCTCATGATCCATCTCCGCTATTAGTGTAGAAGGACAGATGTCCCGAGACATATCATATATGACCCCATTGGCTGTTTGTGTGTTCCATTTGTCTGTTGTGGTTTGTCGACGCATCAGTGCAATGTATTTTTACTGCTGTTATTTTTCGAGTGTCAGTTGGTTGTGCACTTTCCACTTAAGGAAAGTGTTTGACGATGCTGCACATGCTGCACAGAGACACACTTCCTGTTCCTCTGTGGCCCCGGAGGTGGAGAGACGTTAACGGTGGCAAAGTGCAAAACAGAAGTGAAGTGAGGAAACGGGAATCAATCAATCAAGGAATCGAAATCGTCACTGTGGTCGACTACCTGCACCTGACTGGCCTGTTCTCACTTTTGAAGCAGTGGGCAAGGTCAAGCTGGCATTGTTGGAAGTTTTGACACCTCCTTGGTGTCATGTGGTCCAAGGACTCAAGGCTTGGATGCTCCTGGTTATGGAAGTGCCATCACACACTGTGGTTGGCTATTTTTTTGAGTCTGTCCTCCATTGCTTTCTATCGCAACATGACAAGTTGGAAGACTGTCTCTCACGGTGCCTCTAGATGGTCCCACATCTCTGTAAGGCTTTCTTGTGGGCCTTTTTGTGGGACCCCACAGAGGGTTGACCCCATGTCATGAAGGCCCTAGATGCCCAGAGGTGAGAGCTTTGAAGACCTGTAAAGATGCAGGTTGACCTAATGATTGGAGTGGAGAAGCATGTCATTGTCCATTTAAGATCCCATGGTGTCTTGGCCTCCTGCAGTTTCCTGGCAGGAAAGTGCCACCTCGTAACAGGATCCCTTGATGTTCTGCAAAGACTTAACTGGCATGGACTTTTGTGATTCCAAAACTGCAAGCTTGCAGACATTGTTAAGATGAACTTGCCAGATTTGGCAACATCCCCCTGTCGGTTAGCATCACTGATTTGATAATGCCCATCCATATCCTTTAGCTTCTGCACTGTTGTGGAATGGATGCTGTGCTTTTTGGAAGAACTGCATAGCTAATGAGACAGGCTACAGAGTATGGGGGGGGTGGTTTGGGGCTCAGCGGGTTGAGCAAAGGCCCCTAACCTCCAAATGCTCCAGGGACTGGCTGTCCCTGTGTTCTCATAAAAAAAATGTATGTTGCTTCGAATAAAAGCATCTGCTAAATAAATACAATGTGAATGTAAAAATGGTCAGGCACTGAAGGTGGCCACCTATAAACCTGCCTGATGAGTAGAGAGTCTGTCATCCCCTCTCGGGCCTGGATTCCACGGCAGTAACCCGGTTTCTCTCAGGGTTGTCGCACGCTGTGGGTGGTAGGGCTCCTGCTCCAAGCTGTCTCAGTTTGGGTCTGCTGCGAGGCGCCGGCTGTGTGTGAGAGCGTGTGCCAGCGTTGCGAAAGCTCTCAGCTGTGACTCTCATGCCAGGTTAGCATGTGGTGGCGCAGAGGAAACCACATTCTCGGCAGCCATTTCCTGCTTCCCTCCGCTCAACAGGGCGGAGTCCCCGGCGTCACAAGGTGGAGGGGGGGGGCACTGCATGGAGCACAGATTCCCCTGGGTCCACTCCGGGAGAAACCGTGGCCTATGGGTGAAAACCACCCCCCCCCCCAAGCCCTGAGGATGGGGTGTGAGGACCCGTCAGTGAGGAGCAGGAATTTCCTCACATTCAAGACTGCGCCACATTGATGGCATCTGTATCCCCATCACATTGTGTTTACTGACAGGAGGGAAAACAGGAAGAGCCGGAGGAAAAGTTTCCATTACAAGAAAGAAAGAAAACACAAAAGGCGGCATCTGTGAAGAGGATCCGCACACACTGAGGGGACACAGCGGGTAGACAGAAGGTTGTGGCGTGAGGGGTTAACGGACCTCGCTTTCACCTCCCAGGAGAGGGTGACTTCGTGCCAAGCCCCGGTCACCCTCCCAACTCCAAGGGAAGTGTTAAAGAGACACTTCCACTCTTTTAAAGATATGTCCGTACTTCTGTCATGTTATGGAAGCAAGCAAACAGTCGTGGATTTCCAAGTGAGCCAATCACAGAGGAGGGTAGACCTCGCTGTTCCCTGTCGGACATTTTGACCAATGTTTTTTTTTAAACTTTGATCAGTCTGAAGAATGTAGCTTCTATGCAACATAAACCCTAACCCCACCCCCAAGGGATGTTCCCAGCATGTGATGTGCTGTTTTGGATCACGTACAAGAGTGTCTTTTTAATGGTCTGAGTGCAGAGCTGCATAGCTACAGAAAACTGTGGAAAACTTTCGAGACAGAGGAGAGATTTCTTTGGCAGAGTGAGAGCCATGTGTTTTCAGTTGTGACACCATTGCAGAAGTTGCTGTTTTAAATTTGTTGCGCAAACCTTGAGTTCAGCGAGAACATGGCATTAATCTAGGGCAGTCAGTATGACCTCTTGTAAAAGACAACAGGTCGAAACAGCTGTACCCAGCGTCTGCGCAGAAAGATGCGTTTCAGTGAGAATTAATAAAGGCCAGCCGTCACGCGTTGTGTTTGTGAAAGTTTGAATCCACACAAACAATAGACGGAAACCGTTTCATCTCTCGCTCTCCCATTGAAAGTCACGTTTGCTTGGGCAGCATTGTGAAGCCTGCACATTTTAATTTCTCTGTCAGTGGCTGGATATTGCAGGATGCACAGATCAACCCTGACTGATCATAGTTATGCTCTTCGTAAAGCTCTCTGTCAAGACCAACTGCTTGCCCTTAGGTTGGATTCCGCCAGCTGGAAAACGGTTCTTGATATTTGTTTTGTTTTGTTTGGTGCTTTGTTTTTTGTTTGCTTTGTTGCATTTTTTGTTTAGTTGTATATCTTTGGTTTGTTTGGCTTGTTTTTAATTTATTTCATTTCTTGGCTTTGTTCTGCGTGTGTACTTCTTTGTTGTTTGGTGAATTCCGTTAGCTTGTTGTTTCAGTGTTCTGTTCTTCCCCCATGGCTCGTATGCATGAAAGCTTGACGCCATGTGATGAGAAAACATACTCAGCCAGCTGGGATAAAGAAGGAGTCAAATGGGAAAACAGGCAGGGCGAGCTTTGCCAGCGACATTCAGCTGGTATCAGATATCGCTTCTTCTTGTCTTTGTTGGTGTTCACATGCTTTTTAAAGTATCTGGGATAAAGTGTGTGCAGTGGCCCCAGTAACCCTGTCAAAGATGGATGGATGACTGGATGCAGTGGAATGAACCAAAACCCCAACACTCCAGGGTTCTCACATTGTGCATTCGACAGTAACTAAGGACCAAGAGCTAATTGCAATTTAAATCTTGCATATGGGCCATCGGACTGAAGTGATACATCCAGTTAGGGTCTGCTAATTACGTACCACCAGCAATCAGAGTGACACCCTTGTGAGTCATATACACGGCAGAGGGTGGAGCTTAAAACAGGCAGCTACACGTATGGACACACTTGGCCCTGGGAGCCACCCCATGTTTGGCACTTCGAAAGCAGGACACAGCGTTCTGGTCCAGTGGAACAACTCTTACAGAAAGGAGTGTGTATTACGTGTGGAACATGGTATATTACCACAAAAAACCCTCCCACCATTCCCCCTCCTGTGAAGGGGCTGCCGCTACACAGACAGCTTGAAGAGCAATTTAGAAATTTGCAGTGTAGGTCACATGGGATACAAATATACGCTACAGAGTAAATCTAAACTGCATTGGACAGTGTGCAACCCTCTACCTCTTTGATTCCCTGCATCTTGAGCATGACACTGCCAGTATTGCAGGCAGAACTGGGGGTCCTGCCACAATGTTTCTGCTCCTACTCCTCCTTTTTTCTTTATATGGAGGGGAATTCTTGGACCAATCAGGATGGAGCCTGACTCGAACATGAGGGTAGCGCAGTAACAGCGACTCCATAGCTGGAAACACTTTGCAGGCTCTCAGTTGACCACATTGAGGGTTGTGTTTGCCTCTTTGGAAACAGGGCGTGGCCTCACTCTGTGGTTAATTTGCATCATGTTGGGAAAGCTCATGAGAGTCCGCATTGCCACACTGCCCACTCCCAAGGTGGCCAGCTCTACCAACTCTTTGAACCTAATTTCACATTTCGTCAGTCTCCAATTCATTTGACCTCTCATTGCAAGTAGAACCATGTCCCCTGGGAGTACTGATGGCCTGAAGTCTGACTTCTCTTTGTGTAGCAACAGCTCTTCTCGGAAGGGAGGTTCATAGCCCTTTAGCATAGAAGCCTGTAGACTGGTCAGGTGAGACCAGCACTCTGGGCTTTCTTGAAGCGTTTCTCCTCATGAAACTTGAGATGATGAATGACATGGTGAACTTCACATACAAATGAAGCGGAAACAGCAGCAGCCTCATAATCTTACAGCGTGTGCTCTGTGTTATTCAGTGAAGCTGCATTAAGGTTATCATTAGGGTTAGGCTTAATAAGCTTTATAAAGACCGAGAGAGTTTCTCTACTCGATTGGTGCAACTCGTGTTCCTGCTGTAGAAATGAACACAGCTGCTCTTACAGCTGGGCTCTTTCTGTTTAGCCTATCTCTCTTCACCAGGACATAGTCTGTTCTTGCAGTTACATGTAGCTTCTTTGTCCCTAACCACGCTGGTCCTTCTCACATTGAAGAGTGGTTCACAGTACTGTGTTGCATGGTTTTTGGGACCGATGTGCCTGGGATCAGAAGGTTTGTCACTTAAAATCTCCAGGCTGGGAGAGTGAGAGTCACTTTTGGGTCCTTGAGCAAGACCCTTAGGCTCATGTGTTTTAGGGGTGCTGGATACTGCCTGACCCCCAAGCTTGGCTCTCACCTATATATGGCGTGCCTCTTGGAAAGCAAGACGGGGTAGACGAGAAGATAATTACCCCATAAGGGTCAATAAGGTATCACTCAGATGTCATTGTAATTAAGGGCATAGCCTAGAAGATACATGTGCTGTAATGGCTCTCAGTACAATTTTTTACATGAATAGTTCTAAAGTTAACAGGAGTCTTTTAACCAACGTGTGAATAGTGACCATATACCATACTGCAATACTCACACTACTCTGTTACAAAGAACAGTGTGTGTCTGTGCCATGTCTGTATCGTGTCTGATTGTGTGAATTGTGATCTGTGCTGTGTCTGAGTGTGACCGTGTGTCTGTAGTGTGTCTCTGCTGTATCTGTGCTGCGGAGGGCGTACCTTGAAGCCGGGTGCTGTTTCCGCAGGGGAGGCACGTGAAGACCGGACAGCTCGCTGCCATCAAGGTCATGGACGTGACGGAGGTGAGGTGCAGCTTTTCCTAAGTAAATGCAGGACGGCCTCCTGGAGTAAGGTCAGAATGCCAATCCCCTGTCAGGCAGAGATGGCAGAGTGCCCAGCCCAGGGACAGGAAGGCTTTCGGAGAAACCTCCAAACCTGCACTCTGACAAACTGGAGCAAATGTGGACACGATATGTGACAAAGAGAGACGGACCTCAGGGGTTATCAGTCAGCATGACAGTACAGGAAAAATAAAAATCAAGAATCTCCGTAAAACACCTATACTGTATAAAAATTGCGTTCAGTCATGCTTTAGGGGTTTGCTTTTTAATGAGGCATGTGCATATTAGGCTCTAATGGAGTGTGTGTGGCGGTGGGCTTAAAGAACCCCCCCCCCCCCCCCCCCCCCCACCACACACACTACGACCCGTGGTGCTAAAAAAAACGGCCCCCCCCCCCCCCCACCACACAGACATACCCCTTCCCGTTTCCTGCCCGATCTTGTATTGTCTATCTGCCTCTCACTGTAGCAGCAGGAGATTTCCTGTAAAAATTATTCGCCCCAGCCCCCCACTCCCATCAGGATGTCACATCCTCTGGTCTATGTGTAGGTTATAAACATAAGCTGTTTGACTATTAAAGGAAAATAACCACATTGATGTGATCTCAGCCTCCAGGACAGAGCATCTGGCTCCCATGGGGGTGGGGATACAGAAGGGACAAGGGTTGCAGTTCGGTCACTGAACTAGCAGGGGCTTGGGGGGGGGGGTGTAAAGTTTTGGTGTGTCACTGTTATGCTATAATTGGGTTATAGCTGGATGGTTTAGTAATAAATATCCCTTGATGCACAGAGTGTCAAATCATCACATAAAGTAAAGTGATACATCTCTGTTGTTTGTGCACTAAAAAAGCATCCTAAAACCCAGCACCCTTTGCATCTAGAGACTGAAATCTGGGTGTCTGGCAAGGATGTGGGCCCTGGCAAATATTTACCTCATTCCCTGCATCAAATTTCCTACAATAGAGACAGAAAAGCAAATTTCCGGGCAAAGATTACGCGTGCAGACTGACGTAAGAATGCAGTAGTGAGACACACTTCTAAGTGGCAGTATGGAGGAAAACATCTCGTAGAGAAGGTGTGGAGTCAGATGAGGTGTAGAGCCAGGGAAAGCCTGAAGTTAGAGACGGTGTCGAGCCAGGAAATTTTTTAATCCCTAGGAGAGCTGCTTCATTAGCTCACCATGTATGAGCAGGTCAGCTGTGTGCCCAGGGGATAATCAGTGAGCAGATACACTACTAGTGGTCATCAGAGAGTCCTGCTCTGAAGTGCAAAAGCGTCTCGCGTCCGAATGGAGCTGTAGGCCTCATGCTCCATGGGATTGTCTGGTGTCTTCACCCACATTGCCCAAAACAGTCGACCCCATTGACAGTCGGCCACATACACCTTGACTTGCCTTGATTGTGCTTTTATGTGTGCAGGACGAGGAGGATGAGATCAAGTTGGAAATTAACATGCTGAAGACATACTCCCACCACCGGAACATAGCCACGTACTACGGGGCCTTCATCAAGAAGAGTCCCGCAGGGCAGGACGACCAGCTGTGGGTGAGTGTAGGCAACCAATTTGAGCAAAGATATAGTGTGAGGATAGAGCATAAACTGCCATGGGGTAACAGGATCAAGTACAAATGGGGAGGAAACAGCGGAGGTGTGGTCCTATTCCAAGGTGGTTGTTGCTAGATCTCATGGAGCTTGTGTAACATTTTCTGCGTGGTTGAACACAAGCACCTCTGGCCATGTGCAGAGGTTCCCTGTCTGTGGTGAATGGGCATGTTTGAGCTCAGTACTTGAAATTTGTGTCATCCCATATGCAAGAGTTGGCTTCTCCACAGCTGGTGATGGAGTACTGTGGGGCAGGGTCTGTGACTGACCTGGTCAAGAAAACCAAGGGTAACTGTCTGAAGGAGGACTGGATCGCCTACATCTGCAGGGAGGTTCTCCGGGTGAGCAAGGACCATTCTCCAGCATGTCTTATTCTCAATGCTGGTGTTGACTTGCTGTCATGATTATATACTCTGTAACATGGTTACTGTACTTTAAGGCTTGAGCTTGGCCTACAATATATTTATAGCTGTACATCCTGCCAGTCAAACAAGGTTCTTGGTGGTGATGAAATCCTCTGAGTTATTATTGCTGCTTTGATTTCATTGAAGTTTCCTGACCATAGAGCTCCTTCTCCTTCTGCAGCTCATCTGACCATCTGCAGGTCACATGACAATCCTGCTTGTTGGCTGATTTATGCTGTTGTCTGGTGTGTCTGTAGGTGCTTTCACACCACAATAACATTTTTGGAACCAGAACCTTTTTCTGGGACCAGTGACTTTTGTCGTGTTTGCACCACAGGAACTTGGGTTGTAGTTTATCGTAAGCAGTTCAGCAGCGCTTTAGTACCTACTCCAGGTACTTTTCATTCAAACACATTCAAATTACTGGGAAGGCTCTTACAGCAATAGCTTGCTGATTGGTTGACTACAAGCACTGGCGCTAACTTGGAAGTTACACAGAAGTGCAGAAAAAGAGATGCAACAGGGTAAAAATGGTCAGATGGAATTATTTTTGTATCCCAGTTTCATTTAGCTCATCAATGCTTTTGCTCACATCTCCATATTTCTGCATTGGAAAATTAGATCACTGAAATCTGCTTTGCCTGTGGTGAAACTTGCCAGCGCTTATTAGCAGGATAACGTTACATTGGTTTTTATTCATCGATCTTCTGGCCGTATTTGATGATAATCATGAATCATGTTGCGTGTCATATAAACAAAATGTAAATAAAATGTTGTGTCCCATTTTGATCAGTATCGATCCCCCCAATAACTAGCAAAACCATTTATTTATCCTCTCATTGTTTTGGCATGTCGGTGTAGTTTCATATGAAATTATGTGCAAAGTTTAATCTACAAACTTTTTGCATCCCCCATGCTTATTTAGTGTAAAGCCCCCAGGTCTTGTTGTGTGGTGTGAAAGTGACACATGAAAGTGACACATGAAAGTGGCCAGGAGCTCCGAAAGTTCCAGGTTGAGACAACTCAGGGACTTGTAAACCAGGGCCAGGTTCCAGAACTTTGGTGTGAAAGCACCTTGTGTGTTCTTTCAACCACTCCTAATGCTCTGTCTCTTTGATGTTCAGGGTCTGTCACACCTTCACTCTCACCATGTCATCCACCGGGACATCAAGGGTCAAAATGTGCTGCTGACTGAAAACGCTGAGGTCAAGCTAGGTGGGTGGCAGCTTGCGCATGGTCTCCTAAGCTAAGTTCACACTACACGATTTTAGCCCCAATTTTCCACTTGGCAACAGATTTTGGAGACCGCCGACAAAATCCCCCAGATCGGCAAATCGGTGTTCGATCGGCGACGACAAATCGGCGCTTGATCTCTGTGTGTGAACTGTTCAAAGACGCGATGCGATGAAGTGACCGATGCCTTTACAGACGCCTGGCAGATATTTCACATGCTAAATATCTAGACTTCAAAATCCAGTAGGTGTGAAGAGTATCAGAACCAATGAGAATGCAAGACACAGGGTGAGGTGAAATCTGAGGCAGGAATTTAGAAAGGTGTTAAAAACGTGTATAAAGTTCAGTTTGATTAAAAACTGTTCTTGGGTCACTAAAGGCCAAAGGTATATGATACTGTTTCCTGAAAGTTCTTTATATATGAGGATTCATTTGCCACTCGTTTGTAAATGTCGAACTTGACTCAAGTGTTTTAACGTTTTGCAGTGCGATGGCAGTACAATTGTGATTTGCTGGTGTCATTCACACGTGTGATTTCATTACAAAATTTAGTTTACTGACCAGACAACACTCGTCAGCAATTCCTCCTGGAGAAAGATCTTGAAGTGTGATCCCCCTGTCACTGAGCAGTCGTGTAGTGTGTAAATCACAATGACTGAAAGATTCCCGAAGACAAGTTGTGTAGTGTGAACAGTATGGCTATCTGATGACTTGGAAAATCGTGTAGTGTGAACAAGGCATAACAGGTAGTTATGGTGCGTTCGATTATCTCTCTGAAGTCGTAAATTCCAAGGTGCATGATGTTACGTCCAACCAGTATCCCATTCAAGCTACGCATCTCGAAACAAACATGGCTGCTTCAATGGACACGCTGTTGTGTGTTGTTGCTTTATATTAGCAGATTTGGAGCGAGATTCTTTTTTCCGAGAGACAAACAAGAAAAACAAACTAGTCAAACCACATTAAGAGCTTTGTAATAATTTAGTAGATCCATAGCTTTATTCTTTTTTCGAGAGGCAAACAAACTACAAACAAACAAAAGGCTGGTAAAAATCTGATATAGCATGCTAGAATACTGTTTACGGTCATGATATGGTATTCTCGAAATTGACCACGTACAATTGCATTTATAACTATTATATTTATAACTACATTTAACAAAGTAAACAGTTTTTAATATTTATAAAATAGAATTACTGTTGAGTGTGTAAGCCGCCATGTTGAAATGACGTCACAGGGGAATCTCAGACAACAAAATTCTGTCGGACATCAACATCGGAAAGGAGGCATGTTTCCAACAGGAAGTGACATTTTTCATGACATTTTTATCCGACTTTCGACTCAGAGAGAGATAATTGTATGCAGGAATCACAGATTTTCTTATACTGCCCCATAACAGGTAGATATTCACGCACAGACTGCACGGTAACAGGTTTTTCTTAGGCTGCCTAGTTAAATTCATAGCTGCTAAGCCTCTAAAACACCTTTCTCTTTCACCATAGTGGACTTCGGTGTGAGTGCCCAACTCGACCGCACCATTGGCAGGAGGAACACTTTCATTGGCACACCCTACTGGATGGCGCCCGAGGTCATCGCCTGTGATGAAAACCAGGATGCCACCTACGACTACAGGGTGAGAGCTACGGCTAGGGCTAGAGCCCCAGGCCCCTCCCATAAGCTCCCATTGGTTAACAGTGGCTTTTACAGTAATAGCCCATTCTCCCTGATTGTCTCTGTCCTGTTCCAGAGCGATTTGTGGTCTCTGGGAATCACTGCCCTGGAGATGGCTGAAGGAGCCCCACGTAAGTGCTGCACCATCACATCACCTTAGCATTGTGGGGTGCCTAGAGAATCACGGGAGTGAAAGCTGGTGTACAAGCAGATGGATTAGTTTTTGATGTTTTTCCTCACAGTATATTTTACTGAGTAATTATCATGGTGAGGCCTGCTGAGTGATCGTCACAGCGTGGCCTGCTGAGTGATCATCACAGTGAGGCCTACTGAGTGATCGTCACAGCATGGCCTACTGAGTGATTGTCACAGTGAGGCCTGCTGAGTGATTGTTACGGTGAGGCCTGCTGAGTGATTGTCACGGTGAGGCCTGCTAAGTGATCGTCACAGCGTGGCCTGCTGAGTGATCGTCACAACGTGGCCTGCTGAGTGATAATCACAATAAGGCCTGCTCAGTGATCATCACAAAGATATCTTCCAGTTGGAAGTTACCATGGCAAGAAAGTCTTTTGTCATTTAAAGCTATTTTAAGCTGTGAAAAAAGGTCCTGTGCAAGCTGTCCATACAAATTCCGTATCGCCAAGTTCACTGAAGCGAACCGTTATACAAGGGTTACGTGACCGGATCCTGCTGGCTACCAGCTGGACCCTCTTGACTGTTCAGCGCCAAATGGACCTGTCAGGGTCAATGTATTAACGTTCCAAGAGAGACAGCCTGACTGCTGGGATGGCCAGACAGTGGAGAGTGTCTCTGAACAGCGAACCAGACAGACTAGGTCACTAACTGGGACATTGTGTCAGGGTGAATGCCTCCTAATTATTTTGTATCTCTGTACCCTCCCCCCCCAGCCCTCTGCGACATGCACCCCATGAGGGCGCTCTTCCTCATCCCACGGAACCCAGCCCCGAAGCTCAAGTCCAGGAAGTGGTAAGATGCCACCGCCTCAAAGCATTGTGGGGGTCATGTGCTCAATGATGAGTTTGGATTTGAGCGGTGGGGTTGCTCCCATGCTCTGTGAGAAACCGCCATATCCCAGCCAACATACAAACCTATGTGGGGTTCAGACAGGGTAGGAAAAGGCAGAAGAATCTAATAGATGAGTAAGAAGCAGGGATGTTCAGCTATTTACTCTTGGAGGAAAAGGGACTCTCACTCGCATGTATATACAGCATACTGTACATGGGAATGAGCGACAGGCGCAAACATGGACAGAACCAGACCTGGAGTATTCTGGAAAGAATGACCCCATCCAGCTCTACACAGAGCATGCCCCCTTCTGTCTCAGCTTAAATTACACCACAATCCAATACCGGCTTTTGGTTCCTCTTCCTTCAAACAGGCTGTGTGGTCATTTACAGGCAGCGGTTTTGTTGGGGTAATTTCGGGATTTCCCAACCAGGACCTTCCCTGACGGTCACGGGTGTGGCCGCTGTGTCAGGCTGAGCCGCATGGTGTGACGGACAGGGTCACCGTTTCATGTGTGCCGGCCTTTCCAGGTCCAAGAAGTTCCAAACGTTCGTGGACAGCTGCCTGCTGAAGAACCACCTGCAGAGGCCATCCACTGAGACGCTGCTGCGGCACCCGTTTGTCAAGGATCTGCCCCAGGAGCGGCAGGTGCGCATCATGCTCAAGGACCACCTGGACCGGACACGGAAGAAAAAGGGGGACAAAGGTAAGCCCCACCCCCTGTGCTAATGCTAAGCTATACTGGGCTCTAACAAACAGTCACTGATTATTCAGCTAAACAAGAACAGGCAGGTATTTGAAACTGAGATGCCCCTGTTTCCTGTTGTGCTTTTTGAGCATGGGGGCTCTGCATTGTCTAGTCTCCCCCCCATGGAAACCACATCTCTGTGGCTGTGAATGAAGGTGTTTTCCAGTCGGTCACTCTTTACCACGTGTCGAGTCGACTTCTCCTTTTCTAAAAATGCGCACAGCGGGGCCATAAGTGGGCTGCTGGGAAACTTATTTTGCTGCCCCCGCCCCCCCAAACTACACCTGAGGTCATGCTATCCCCCTACAGAGGAGACTGAATACGAGTACAGCGGCAGTGAGGAGGAAGAGGAGGACGTGAGCGAAGACACAGGAGAGCCGAGGTGTGTCGGCAGACAGAGGGATAGGAGGAGGCATCTGCATGCACAGGCGTGCAATCACGGCTACACACCTACACACTCATATATACACACTCATGTCTACACACTCACGAAAACACACCTACACACTCACAAATACACACCTACATACTCATATATACACACTTACGAAAACACACCTACACACTCACGAATACACACCTACATACTCATATATACGCACTCACGAAAACACACCTACACATTCACGAATACACACCTACATACTCACGAAAACCCACTTACATACCACCAGATACACACTCACGAAAACACACGTACACACGTCTACACACCTACACACTCATGGAAACACACCTACACACTCATATATACACACTCACGAAAACACACGTCTACACACCTACACACTCACGAAAACACACCTACATACTCATATATACACACTCACGAAAACACACGTCTACACACCTACACACTCACAAAAACACACCTCCACACTCATGAATGCACACCTACACACTCACGAATGCACACCTACACACTCACGAAAGCACACCTCCACACTCACAAATGCACACCTACACACTCACGAATGCACACCTACACACCCACGAAAACACACCTCCACACTCATGGAAACACACCTACATACTCATATATACACACTCACGAATATACACACTGAAGAATACTCACACATACTTATGAATACATAGCTACACATTCATATATACACCCACACTCATATGTACACCTACACACATACACAGCTGCACACTCATATAGTTACAAATACCTACCTACACACGCACACATACCTACACACTCATACATACACACAGACCTACACACTCAAATGTACATGCACACTCACAAAAACATACCTAAATATTTCTACCCCATAGTGTCATGACAGGTAGTCCCCACAAGGGGGCGTCGCAGTGCTGGCTGTGCCCCCACATGTACTCACTCAGCCTGCATGCATGTGTGTCACTGCAGCTCCATCGTCAACATGCCCGGTGAGTCCACACTGAGGCGGGAGTTCTTGCGGCTGCAGCAGGAGACACGCAGCTGTGTGGAGACGCAGCGTCAACAGAGGCTGCAACAGCAGCAGCTCCTCGACCAGGAGAGATACAAGCGGCAGCTGTTGGCCGAGAGGCAGAAGCGCATCGAGCGACAGAAGGAGGAGCGGCAGAAACTGGAGGATGTAAGGCGCTACGCTACCAAAGCGCTACGAATCATAACGCTGCTGTAACGTATCCCCAGTGCTGACATCATCCTGCTGTAATCGTTCTCTACGCCTTTACATAACCCTACTGTAATCTGTCCCCAAAGCTAACATAACCCTACAATAATCTTTCATAAATACTACCATAACCCTGTCCTAATCTTTAATGGATGCTAACATAACCCTACTCAAAACTTCCTTGAGTGCTAATTCAACCCTGCTCTAATCTTGCTAACATAATTCTACTATAATCCATCACCAAAGCTAACATAATCCTACTCTGATCTATCCCCAATGCTAACATAACCGTACGCTGATCTTCAATGAATGGTAACATAACCCTTTTCTAATCTGTTCCCATTGCTAACACAGCCCTACTCAAATCATGTCTAAGCATTTTACCATCATACTACCATAATCTAACCCTAGCAGTACGCCGCTAATGCTAATCTTACCCGCCGACCTCTGCAGCAGCGCAGGCAGCAGCTGGACGCCGGCTTCCAGTGGCCAGAGCTGCAGGAGATGCTGTGGCAGGATGAGGTGGAGCCTGATGGCAGGCGTGCCTCAGGCGATGGGAGTAACGTGAAGAAGCAGGTACTATAG